TCCAATCCCTGACATCCTGTGACTCTGTGTGGTGACTTACCCATTTATTGAAGAAGGAAACAAAGCCGTATCCTTTCGATTTCCCCGTCGCCATGTCCTTAACCACACGCGCGTCTCTAAAAAAGCAGAAACAAGAGCAGGTTCAGTGCCTTCACCGCACGATCTGTTCCTAAAAACGACAACTCGAGTCACACCTACAGCTTATTTTCACGTTTCAACCTTTACTAACATCAACTGTTTATTGCACCAGCAACAACACAGTCAAAGCAAAAGGCTGCTTCTTTTTTTTTTTTTTTTCTAAACAAGAACTTTACTAAATGCTTTGCAAAATTAAAAAGAAAAAAACCAAACTTAATTGTGTAAACATGCAAATCAAAAGCTTCTCTAAACAAACGTAGGTACTTTTCCCCCGCTTCCAAATGCTTTTTACAGACTGTTAAAAGACACAAAGCATGGTCAAAGCAGCTATTCAAAAGAATCAACTTAAAAGCACGGAGCTGACTAAAACATGAGCTGAATGGCTTTCTTTAACCATGCAATTTTATTTTGTTGCCAACACATTCTACCTACTCATCCATATATTAAATAGATAAAAAAAAAAGAAAAGGAAAAAAAAAAGATAGGAATTAAAAGGCATACGTCGCCTGTTAACCGAATTCTTTAATTTTCTCAGGTCAATTCGTTACCCCCTTTTTGGACTGTGGGCAGCTGTAAATTTTGAGAGATTGACATGTTCAGAAATTATTGAAGTAAAAGAAAAACACTGCAACATTCACGTCTTTATAAAAAGAAACTACATATTCACACATCATTCCAACTGCATTTGTACAACAGCAATCATACAGGATTGATTGGAAACTACAAGATTATATATATATATATTAAAAAAATAATAATAATAATAATAAAAAAAATAAGATAAAATTTATAAAAGGAAATAAGAAAACTACAACGTTTGTCCACTGTGAACTGTAGCTTGTAGTTAGCCTTGGCAATTCTGTCCATTCTTCAGAGACACTCTGCAAAATAACCAGAGCCCTATTATTTGAGATTTGAGTTATAAAAGAGAACCCAGCTAACAAGAGCTAAACCCCACTGGTGGAACGCCATTCGCCAGCGTTTTCTCAGGCAATTTGCGTACGAGTTGGTCGAGGGGTGAGATGTTCTCAACCTACAGGCCACCCTCTTCCTCCCCACTTTCACCCCACACGTACAGGCAATTCAAAGAACAGAAACAACGACAGAAAACCAGTCAGAAAGTCATGCAATGTGATTTATGGCTGGATAAAATTATGAGGTTGTGAGAAACTAACATTAATTTAGTGTTAATTCAGCGTTCCAAGACTGGTGAAAAAAGTTACGGTGAAGGTTCGTTACGCTCAGGTTTTTTGGGGTTTTTTTTTTGCTTGTTTGTTTGTTTTTTGGGGGTTTTTTGTTTGTTTTGGGGTTTTTTTTAAAGCCTTTACAGTAACTTCAAGTGCTGCGTCATCACCTGAATTCTGGCACACATCAGCCCTCAGCGCTGCCACCATCACCCAGGGCCTGAGGAAAATACCTCTCCCAAAGCTACAGTGGAAATGTTCTTTCTTTCCTCTTTGTCACATCCCACCTCCCCATTTTTTTTCTTTCTTTCCCCCTTTCCTGGGTTGAAAGTCAGATTTTGGGTAATATGTTACAAATTGCCTGAGAAGAACCACTTTGGTTAAGCTTCCATGGGTTTGCTCTGAAAAGCCTATATAGAGGGAAAGGGGGAAAAACTCATCTCTACTTACCCTCAAGTGAAAACTTTGAAAATAAAAGACTTGAGAACAAGTGAAAACATGCAGACAGCAAGCAGAAAAGGAAACCACAATGAAAGTGTGTTTTTACAGTGATTAAAAAAAAAAAAACAACCCAGATGTAAAGAATTACCAGAAGGAATTTTATGTGCTAATCATGCAGTAGTTCAACTTCGGTGTCATAAAAAAAAAAAGAGCTCAGTTTAGCACCAATGAAGATAATGATAAAAAAAAAGAGTAATAATCAGGAAATATTCCATTAGCACCACATTTCCTGAAACTAGGCACTGATGAAAAACATCAAGTAAAGTCAAATAAGTTCATTTGACCACCGAAGAGGCAGTAGCAATATTTTTTCAAGTTGAATTTAAACAAGTAGAAAATCGAGGTCCCTTCGGCTTTATTTAACCCCTCGGTTTTGAGCTCCAAACAATTATGACGGGGACAATTCTCAATCTATGACTTTTGCAGGAGGAAAAGAATCAAGTTTTGGTTTGGCCAGTGGGGTTTGAGCCAGGGCAAACCACCAGTTTTCCATCTCTTAGCTCTGTGGCTGAGCACCGAGTGCCCCAAACGCCAGAGCATCGCTCCCCCTTCCCTGTCACCACCACCACGCTGCAAAAAACTCTGCGTCCAAAAAGCTCTTCTAGAAAAGATGGGACCACGGGCACAGCCCCAGAAATACGGACTGTGGACTGACATTCACTGTGATTTTATACTCCCCCAGCTGACATCAGGCATTATTGTTTGCTCCTGGATCAGGAGGGAGGGGGTTTGGTTTTTTTGGGGGGTGGTTTGTGAACTGTCACCTCAGAAACCCAGCGCTGACTTGCTGAGGGGAAACTCACGGTCCCACCAACGTGGCCATCTACTCCTGCTTCCCTTCCACGCTCATTCCAGCAATTCCTTCCTCATTTATTCCTCAATCCTGAGTACTTTAGAGTCCCTCATCCCTTCCATCCAGATCACATTTGGCCAGAGGATAAGCTGACTCTCCTTAGGAGTCCGACCCTCTGCGTTTCCCAGATGATAATTACAAAAGATTTAGTCAAGCGTTGTCTGAAGCAAGTCACATTCAGATCATATTTCTTTTGAAATTTAATTTTAAACCTTAAACCTTTATTTTAAACCTTATCATAAGAGGAAATCAAGCTGGCATTAAAAGAGTAAAACGCTGGACTCTGAGAAGGGGGGGAAAAAAAAAATAATACAAACAAAAGCCAAACTTACTTTCCATTAAATGCTTCACTACACAACACTCCAAAGCACTCTATGTTCTCTTACATCACCATCAAGAAACGTCAATGTCCAGTACAGACAACACTACAAGGAAAATTAATGGTTTACGTTTGGAGGATGGAATGAACGAACCGCTCCTTACTCTTTGCTACACCCTAAATACAACGAAGCGACAGCGGAGAGCGGCGAGCACCGATCCCCGGTTCTTACAGCATTGCTCTGCACTGTTAAAAAAAGTTCAGTTTGGGGGAAATGGGATTTTAAGTGCAAAAAAAACCAAAACCAACAAAAAAAAATTGGCTACTGGTGGCCAGCACAGCACGGCTACCAAAAAACTCCAAAGCCTCTCAAGGTGTGAATGTGTAAATGGACTCGGTCACAAACTACAGCGGGCTGGTGATGTGATTGCTGAGGAGGCCGGTGAAATGCAAACCCCAGGTTTTAGGAGTCGGTTTTTATCAGTGTTGCTTTGCCAAAAGGAGGCAAGGAGTATAAAACCAAAGCAAGGTGGATGCCACTTTTCTAGGAAAGCAGAATAAACGACTATAAAAGAATGGGGTCACACATCCCCTGCGCTGAACGCCCGACCGCTCGGGCGCCAGCCGCTGTAGGAACAGATCAATGTCCCTTCCTGCACTGTGACAACGCTGGGTTTTACTTACTGAAGCATAAGGCTGCCTCCACTTAAAGAGAAATTCACTTCTAATTTATTTGCCTGAAGAAATTACTTACGATATCCTTCCAAACGGTGCAAACGCTGCTTTTATATCCTCGGTGGTGATTTCTGGACTGAGGTCTCCGACAAAGACGTGGAAATGATCTTTTTGGGGAAAGAGAGAAAAAAGGATCTTAATGTTGGAAGGTGATTCGGGAACGCTCGGGTGCACAGAGCACAGCACCCTCACAGGGCACAGCACCCTCACAGAGCACAGGGATCTCACAGAGCACAGGGATCTCACAGAGCACAGGGATCTCAAAGAGCATGGCTTTCCAGCTATTATCAAAAATTACTGAGTTTTTTTTCATCCTACTACCAGGACGACAAGGTTTTATTATAATTATTATATAAATTATATAAATATTATATGTTTACTGCTGTTCCTAACAGATCCTTTGCTTGGCAGAGCTACAGAGTCATAGAATCATAGAATGGTTTGGGTTGGAAGGGACCTTCAAGCTCATCCCAACCCCCCTGCCAGCAGCAGGGACACCTTCCACTAGACCAGGTTGCTCAAAGCCTCATCAACCTGGCCTTCAACACTTCCAGGGAGGAGCAGTCACAACTTTCTGATGTCACAGGGAAGTCTTTCCATAAAAAACAAATTAAAAATGAATAAAACCCCAGGTACAGCTTCAGGTGGTTAGTGAACACCCTTGAGAGATTTCATTTGATGCTAAAGAAGATCCAATCGCCTTGTGAACGCTGTGCATCGAAAAGGAAACTACCCAATGACAAAGTCTGGATTTGTTCTTATTAACACAAACACATGAAATAATATCTTTGGATTACAAGTAAAGCATTACTGCAGATAAATGTACAATGTTAAATGTTTATGTTTAAAAACTACCTGTATGAATCAAACAGACACTCAGAGCATCAGGGACACTTACTGCTGGTGTCTTTCTTCTGGCTGCTGGGAGTCGTCGCCCAGTTCACTTTGACCTCCTGCAAAAGTCAGTCGCTGACGTTAGATCAAGCAAATCCCAACTAAGCACTTCATTCTGTCGCTACAGAGGGGTCAGATGTGGAAGTTTGGGGTGACAGCTCAAGTTTAAAATGTGTTTCTTGGGAGAGGGTTTGTTCTTCCAAATTGTGTTCCACAGGTTAAGAGCAAAGGTGGGAAACAGACTCAGTGTGGGAGTTTGGTTTGGCTGGACTGCTTTTTTTTTACAGGGGTGGGGAGTGAAGGATCTTGTCCTGATAAGGTCATCAGAGTTAAAATACTTGTTACAGCCACTGTCTCTGATCCCTCCCCAGTTCTACACCCTCACCTCCCTCTGCATTCTGCCTCTGATCCCTCCCCAGTTCTACACCCTCACCTCCCTCTGCATTCTGTCTCTGATCCCTCCCCAGTTCTACACCCTCACCTCCCTCTGCATTCTTCCTACAACCATCTAAACAGCAATTTTTGTTAGTCATGTCACCAAAAAACCCTCCATCCCAACAAAGTGCCTCACATTTGCAGCGTTTCCACTTCATCTCAAGTGATATTTCACCCTATTCCACCCGCACCACCTGAGATACAGCCTGATTTCCAACTCCAACTCACCCTGTAGACATGACAGCTTACCTTACCCATTATCTTCCGGCCATTCATGGCAGCCAGCGCCGCAGCCGCATGCCGGTGCTCGTAGAATTCCACAAAACAGTAGGGATCATTTCCAGCTGTCTGGTGAAAAGAAGCAAACAAAAGATTATTGACACAATCCTCTTCAAACCATACCCTTTCTATCATACTCGGCTCTTTAGGCCCTACACCTGTCTCAAAACACACAGGTTTTTTTACTCTGCGCTCAGACCACACACTAAAAAGGCTCCAGGACGTTTCAGTTCTGCTTTAAAAAGGTAAAAACAGGGCAAAAAAATCTTTTCCAGTCTCATCTACGATGCCCACATATATTAATCTCTTCACTCCCTTTCACAATATCCACCCATCCTTAAATTTCACAGCAGACACGAGGCAGAAACAATGCCCAAAGGACATCCAGATTTATTACACCCCTTTAACGTCGTCATGCTGTGTTTGCTGTGAAATTCTGAAACACCCAAGTACGGCCCAAAGCCACGAGAAACATGAAAATCATTGAGAAATGTGGCTCTTACATCCATGATCATTTTGCAGTTCTTGCATGGTCCGATCTGGCTGAACAGCTGGAGGATGAGAGCTTCGGTCACATCTCTTGACAGGTTCCCCACGTACCTGTAGGATGAAATACAAATTTACAAGCCATCCTGATGCTGTTTGTTGGTGACAGGGGGCAGTAATAGCACCTGTGCTGGAACCAGCGCCTGGTCCTTGACCTGCTCCCTGTGGCGGGCGAGGGGCCCAGGCATCTCCTCTGCCGGGACAGCTCAGTCAAATTTCAAGTTAAATTAGACCTGCTCATTAACCAAGTAAAGGAGAAAAACTTCTGCCATCTCCCCACAACTCCAAACCTGTCTGCAGAAACACCAGCAGTTGCATTCCCAAACAAAACATGGATGGATGTACTAGAAATGGTGCAAAAGGAGTTTCACATTAGATTTGAAGAGCTTCATCTCCATGAACAGGACACACAGCTTTTCCAGAACCCATTTTCTGTTGACATTGAAACTGTTGATCCGATTTACCAAATGGAATTGGCCAAACTACAGACTTGTGACTCGCTGAAAGATGCATTCACATCAAGCAGTCTTACTAATTTCTATGCACCTCTCCCCTCAGAGACATACCATCATCTCAGGAACCATGCACTTGAAATTACAACCGTCCTTGGCAGCACCTGTGTCTGTGAGCAGATGTTTTCCTGAAGGAAACATCTGAAATGTCCAATCAGACCCAGACTAACTGGTGAACACTGGCACCACTTGCTGTGACTGCAGTGACAAATCATAGAATGGTTTGGG